ACCATTACCTCAACCGACACTACCTCAAATCGGACTTCATGAGCTGATCAGTGATACCCAAAGTGAAAGAGCCGGCGGGCTGGTAGCATCAGGAACGTCTCTCGGGTCGCTCAACACGCATATCCACCCTCCCTCGGCCATCATTACCCCGCCAGTAACCCCGGTACTGCTTATGCCCCTAGTAATCCTGGTAGCGGTCTGGGCATGGGCTACAACGTAATGAATCGATGGCCAAGTGAACGAGAATATAGCGAGAAGGCGGGATATGCCGAAAGCATTGCATCGTAAGTTTTGATTCTCTCTTTTGCTCCTTAATTCTTTCCATTTATTGTGGCCAGTAGCAGTCATCGCTCCTTTGAGGATGCCTTCATGACCGCAAACGAGTGCTATGACCCTCCAAATCGGCCAAACAAGACTCCCTCACTACTCTAAGTCCGGATCGCTAACATTTCAGCTTGTTATGATTGGGATGAAGGACTGATCACTTCATCTCTCATCAAGCCCCTACTACCACCCCCGGTAACCATTACGGCCAGCCGGGCCCGCCCTACGGCGGACGGACACAACAACCCTACAGCTCCCATCCTCTTCAATATCAGTTCCCGCCACCGGTCGATAATCAGAGCTCGCTCAACCGCGCTCCGTCCTATTCGAGCGACGAACAACGCTTCTATACCGACGATAAACATCCCGTTGCTCCCTATGCTCTGCCTCCTCCTCGCTCATCCGCACCTTCTAGTGATTACACCTCGTACCCTCACGAACCACCACCACCGCCACCACCTCCTCCACACCATCAACAACACCACCATCATCAACATCATCAACATGAACAGTATCAGCATGAATATCCTCAACATGACCAGTATCAACATGAACATCCTCAGCATGAACATCCTCAACATGAACATCATCAACATCATCCTGAAGACGAGTACCATCCTTGACCCACCTATTCTCTTATTTTGTTTTTGTTTTCAAATTCATCTATCTGCAAAAAACTCTTCCTTCTTTCACATAGGGCTCGTAAAAAATTCTCTTATATACCTCCTTGACTTTTTTTCCCCTTTTTTGGAGGTGTACGTGTTTATATATATAAATAAATATCTATATATACCCTGCATATGTGTGTAATCAATCATTCTAGTCTCTTTTTCCTCTTCCTCTTCTTCCTTCTTCCTTCATCTTTGTTTTTTAAAGGGTCCAAAGTTGTTCTTCTTCAATCAATCATTTTTATTAGGGTTTCCTTTTCCTTTGTCTTTTACATAGTCTATCTCTCTTTTTTTTTGTCTTTACATGTTTTTTTTTTCTTTTTCTTTTTCTTGTCTTGTGTTATACAAATATATATATATCTATATATATGAATAAAGATATGGTATTTATATATGTTGGGTTCTTCCTTGTTCTCTTCCTTGTTTGGTTGTCTGTTTGTGTAGATTGGATATGGATGATTCCTGGAGGATGCAATGGAGGCAGAGGATGCGGGACTAGGCTTCAAGACATCAGAGTATGTATGTATGTATGCACAATTGAGGATGAGGAAGCATGAACTCCTAGTGAACAAGAATCAACAACACAACTTGGTCCATGGATGTAATGTATAGAGATGTGAGGCAGGGGCCCAATTAACATAAAACACATCACACACCCAGTGCTCAACTTTCCAAGTTCAGCAGCACTTTCCCTGATCCGTCACAATCCTACAAAGCCTCCCATAACGAAGCTTATCACACCCAAATGACTGCCCATCTTCTGGAAGGAGACAGGTATGGCCAGCCGCTCCAGACTCTCTTATTGGGGTCTGGTTGCTGAGTGGGCTCTGTCTTTGTTGGTGTTGATTTGCTACTGTCTTGAGGAGATATTAACACATCCATGGGGGATATTATTTGCGCAACTTCACTGAGACAGCTCCTGTCTGATACACCATGAATACAATTGCTGGTTTGGTTATTGCTTATATCAGCAATGGCCCACTCATTTTAGGATAGCAGCCCTCAAAACAGCACACCAGCACTGTAGTGTTAGGGCACTGTTAGTCCCACTACACTGCGCTACAGCACTTTTATTCTCCCCATACAAGGACCCATGATCAGAAACAAACCTGGTTCATATATGCCTGGGTGAATAACCCTTGGGGTATGTACACTCCCCTTTCCCTGAGCCATGACATGACCTATAACTCCAATACTCTGTTGAACTTGATCAGGTCAGGAAAGGTTATTCAAACAACACATGCATGTTTAGGTAAGACTGAATAAGAATAAGCAGGAGCAGGCCTCAGTATCTCATGATCTCTCAATCTTCTTACAGTGTTTCACAATTGAATTAATGCCTCAGGAAGGTTCACTATAATACATGTGATTTTCTTTTATATGCCCTTTGTCATTCTGCTGTGGTGATCAGGTGGAGATTAGCCTTCAGTGCCATCCTGATAAGCCATGAAATTTTAGTTTAGTTTCTATACTACATTTTATCGTTTCACATTTCTGTACTAGTTTTGTTATTACTACATAGTTGAGTGCTTTTGCCCAATGCTAAGAGCAATTCCACCGCGGGCGCTAAATTGGGTCGCTAGCGGGAATTTACCGACTCATCGCGACCCACCGCGGCCGCTATTCATGCCTTAAACTTACGGCGGTCCCTAAGTTTCGTTTGCAAGTCCCTACATGTAGGGACTCCTAGCGACTCTCCTTCCTCATCAAAATCCACTTTCACATGCTGAAAAATTTGTGAAATCCCAATTCATCCAATCAGTCACACCCCCGATTTATCAGATATCCATCTATATCCGGCCATGGCAACACCAATCAACATTGTTCTTGACCCTGCTCTCCAAGCTCTCATGCCAGAAAACAACAATACCACTACCAAAATGGAACTTCCTTCGGCTCCGACGAAACCGTCTCGAAAAAGAAATATCTCGTCAGGAGGAGATGGTCAGTAGGATATGTATGAATCTTATTAGGGCTTTGACTGATTCATACTGTGTTTCAGACTTGTCTTCTATCAGTATCTCAAAGACAAAGAATACGAAAACAGCAGCTGTGAAACCGAAACCCCCCAAAAAAACTTCGAAGAAAAAAAGCCAGGAAACTCCAAAAGAAACCAGAGATGAGGAGGAACGAACGGTGATACCCGATGAAGAAAGACGACGTGAAGGTGGAGAAGAAGGTGATTCCGAAGACAAAGACGAGTCTGAAAAACAAGCACGTGCTCCTAACTATCTGGAGCATGAGGATCTCCAGCTCTGTACCTCGTGGCTCGAAACGACTGAAGATGGGCGAAAAGGTACCAACCAAACCGGCACTGCCTTCTGGGAAACGGTCGCAAATCACTATCGATCAAAGATTCCCGAACCCTTTCGTCCCTTGAAGAGTATCAAAGGCCATTGGGGCCTCATACAAGCTGCACTCAACAAATTTCACGGATGTGTGAACCAAATCAACCATCGGAACCCAAGCGGTACAACAGCGGCCAATCGAATCAGCATGGCCCACACGATGTACAGCAAGCTTCAAGAGAGACCCTTCAAGTACATGGCCTGCTACGATCTCCTATCCAAAGCGCCGAAGTGGCATGACTACAATGCCGCGATGACAAAAAAATGCGAACAGAAGAAAAAACCCAGCCCAAATCCCTCGAGCCCTTTGCCGGCCTCATTACCTAGCTCGACTTCAGCCGATACTGTCCACTTGACTTCGGATGCTTCTGGCGATGAGACTGCGCGTGGCGAACCGACTCGTCCTATAGGTCGGAAAAAGGCAAAGGTGGCCTATCAAGAGGAAAAACTAGACGCCTCGAATCATGAACATCTTAAAAAGATGGCTACCGCTCACATCGATATCGCTGAGGTTGCAAAGAAGCAACATACTGCACTAGCGAGTGCGATGTCTGCTCAACACTCCGCCCTCAAACGCCTTGCAGATGAGGCAATCATGAATAAGGACCTCACTGGGGCTGATGACGATGTCAAGAAGTACTACATACTTCAACGAAAACGCATATTAGATCGACTTGAACAAGAAATGGCTACTCCTGCTCCAGCTTCAGAATCGACTCCAGCTTCAGCTCCTGCAACGGTTAACCATGAAAAATAGTTCATCTACCATCATATGATTTTTTTTCTATCTTCCTTACAATTTTTCTCACTCGCAGATGTGTCAGACTCATTTGTTTCAGAGCCACTTGTTTTTCTCTCACAAGGTCTGCCTTACTTGTTCATCTCATGAAATACAACAATACATTACTTGTTCATCTCTTGAAATAAAACACACATTCAAATTTTTTCTTTCTAAAGTGGCGATGTTAGAGAAAGTGAACGTGAGTGAGACTACAATCCTTGCGAAGTACCAAGCGGAGCTGAGTTCTCTGAAAGCCCAACTAGTGAGCCTCACCCAATCTCAATCCCAATCCTCATCCGCTGATGCAACGGGAGGATCGGGAGGATCATCGGAGAAGAGGTTGAAGGAAGAGGTCCAGAGGTTGTCCGAGACGGTCGAAGACTTGAATGCGGAGATCGAGGACCTTAAGGCCCAAGAACTCAAGCTCAGAGACGCCTTCCTCTCCGATCTCGCTCAACTTAACCAGCTCAATTCGGCACTAAAGGAACGAAATTCTCTCAATTCTATGTGGTTTAAATTGCAAGGTCAAATCGGTCATACTTGAAATACTATTCTACATCTTCTACAGCTGTTTCTTTTCCTTTACGAGCCCACAAATGGGCAATCAAATTGTTTCGGAGAGCAAAGTGCAAGTCAGGATTTTGGATCCTTTGCATATTTTGGATGAAAGTCGAGAACTCGGGGCGACGTTGAGAAATTGGATCAATGGGATCGTCTGCTGAGCTGTTTCCTCTGGCCGTGTTTGTATTGTAGATGTGATCAATATTTAGATGTCTCTCATCCTCCACAATCATGTTGTGGAGGATGACACAGGTCTTCATTACTAAATGAAGCTTTTCAACACTCCATGTCAGCGCTGGTCGAGCTACTATAGCGAATCGCGCTTGAAGTACCCCAGGGCCAAAGGCCCGCTCGACATCCTTTTGAGCTGCCTCCTGCATCTTTGCAAAATGCTACAGGGAATCAGTCAGTTAATGTTGTTGGTATGATTGCAACGAGTATAATAATTTAAATACCTGTCTTTCTAGCCCTTGTGGCTGTGAAATGGTTTTGACGAGTGTTGAATAGTCTGGGTAAATTCCATCGGCGAGGTAGTATCCTTGGTGATAGGTTGTGCCGTTGACTTTAAATTTGCATGGCGGGGCGACTCCGTTCATCAAATTGGTGAAAACAGGTGATGAATCTAAGATATTGATGTCGTTGTGAGACCCTGGCATGCCAAAAAAGGCATGCCAAATCCACAAATCATACGATGCGACTGCTTCCAAGACGATAGTGGGCACCTTCAACACAAAAATCTAGAGTGAGGAACATGGCTAACAAGGCTGCAGGGAAGAGAAATCAACCAACCTTTTCCTTACCTTGATACTGTCCATGCCATGCCGTGGGGCAGTTTTTCCAATGCCAGTGCATGCAATCAATTGAACCGAGCATGCCCGGAAAGCCTCGTTCCCTCCCAGTAGCTAACAATCTTTTGATGTCGTTCTCATTTGGTGATCGAAGATATTCGGCGCTGTACAAGTCAATCACAGATTGGCAAAATCTATAAAGGCTTTTTGAAGCTGTCGATTCTCCAATACGGATATACTCGTCGGTTGCATCGTGTGATCCGCCATATGCCAAGATTCGCAGAGATGCAGCAATTTTTTGGATTCCTCTCAAGCCTAGATTACCTAACGCGTCGGCCCTGTGAGTGAAGTAGGTGTCATGTTGCTCGACATCGTTAACAATCTTCAAAAAAAGCCCTCTTTGCATCCTAAAGCGTCGGCGAAATTGATAGTCGGTGTAAATGGCTGATTCCGCAAAGTAGTCTTGATGCAATCGTTGGTAGCCTGCTTCAAAGTCTCGGCGCAGATTAGGAGCTCTTCCTTTTCTCGATCCACCTCGTTTTGGTGGTTTTCTTTGTTTTCTTTTACGTTCTCGTCGAAGGATTTCTTGAGCTGCTGCTGCTCCGCCTTGAAGAACTACTGATATCCCTTGCGTCGACTGGATTGAAGTTGATATGATTGAATTTTGAGTGTTGATGAAATTGCGAATGACGGCCAGACGATCCATTGCAAAAAAAGTGTGGTTGTTGGCGGGGGATCAGGGGGCCTTGACGGGGACGTGCCTTTCATAGATTTTTAAGGACTTGTTTGCCGTCTTGCGGTGTATGCCGCAGCATTTTGAGCCGGTAAAGCTTGCTGCGCATTCCTGGAGACAATGTTTTAGCGACCCAAAAATAGGGGCCGCGGTGGAATTGCTCTAAGTGAAAAATGCAGTTGATGGGAAGTCTTCCGTTTCCAGTTATCATTCCCACCTTTGTCCATCACATTTTCCCGCAATGTGCTCATGAAAAATTCCTTGATATAATCTTGATTGCTTTTTTATTCTGAAGGGGGTTTCACAAAAAACAAATCCCTGTGAAATATCAACCTGATAAAATCATCTAACCGCGTTATCGACCTTGTCCTCACAATGTCCCAAATTAGGTTTGACTGCTTCAGTTTGGAACCTCAGAAAAATACATGATAAATACGTTGAGGTGAAAGATCGAATCCGACCAAACATTTTTGATAGCTACTCGTTTGATCTTATCATACTCGTAGTCATTAGTACAGTCAGATTGGGCTGCTGCTTAGAGGTATGGGCCATGGCTGATGGTTAACATCAAAATTTTACAAGAGTTCAGTTTTACGGTCTCAGAAGAGCATTATCACTCCTTTTCTTCTACCTTTCTTTGATCAGTATGACATTCCTTCACAGAGTTTGCCTGCTTCTGTTGGCTCGAGTCACAATAGCGGCGCTTCCTCCCGATGACAACTTACAACGTTTGATGGATGAGTTGGCTCAATGCATTGAGCTCCCTTCGCCTGGAGTTGATAATCTAGATATTCCCCATTCGGGACATATCTCCACTTATTCCATGGTATCAGGGCCAGACTTGATGCAGGAGTTTTGTCCAATGAAATCCTTTCCATCTAGTGGTATTGATGAACATCCCCTACAGGCCAATATTGAAGGTCGACAACTAAAGCGAGCAAGAATGAATGACAAGCCTATTATGCCCATGCGCAATGATCAAGGACAAGATGACCCACCTGAAGCTGGGCCTTTTCACTCACGTGATGATGCTCGATTCTCGGAAGTTGTGCAGATTCTTTCTCCGGCTGAGCTTGATAATGCCATTCAAGGGATATTAAAACCTCATCCTCCAGAAACCCAACTGAAAATCTTACGTGAAATTTCCCCTCCATCACCAGGGCTGTTGGTTGGATCGAGTAATAGAAGGCAAAAAATTGAATTCGGTCATCAAGTTGAACAATACCAGATGTACTACCTGGATACGATGAAAGGGATATATCAGGATGCTGAAATATCAATTGGTTCCGGGCCATTGATGAAAAACATAGGTGATTGTCGTGTTTTCGAGATTCCCCTCCGATCAGCCAATGTTTGCTCTTCAGAACTCGGTGCATTAGTGCTTCCATCAGCATCTCAGCATGAAGTTTATCCTATTGAGAGATTGTTCACATTTATGAGAAATTTACAAAAATGGTTGACCCGAATCCACAGCATCCTCTGGAGGGACCTCAAAGGAAATCTTGATTGCCAAATTGACCATCAAAAATTGATGCTCTGGCTGTTTGAAGAAGTATTCAACCCTAAAAATAGTATCCCTGTGTTGGGTAGGACACACCTAAAGAACTTGGATGAAGGCCACTTTGGACCTGTACAGATTTTGATCATTAACCTACTTCAAGAACAACATTGTTTCTATAAAACTTCCCTTGGGATTGCAGCCATATGGTTCAAGAACAACTTTCCTGATGAATGGGATCTCCACTTCAAAATAGATGATTTGTTTTGGATCTGGGCACATGTTTTACTAAGTGAAGATATTTCCCCTGTTGAAGCAAGTGAGGATGTTGGATTCATTCAACCCAAGAAGGATTTAAATGTTGAAAAATACAAAAAGTATCCAATATCTAGAAGACCCAAACAGAGTTCATCCAAATCAGATTATGAAGTTTCAAAGTATGATTTCAAAGTGGATTTTCCAAGTGGAAGCTCTGTAGGGAGTTTGTCTGAAGGTAATTTGAAGATTGGAGAATTCAAACTAATCTTTGAAACCCGTCACTTTTCATTGAAGAACAAGCCCCCCAAGGCACAAACAACTTCTTCAATGAAGATCCTTAAGGAGTTATCAAGATATACATCTCAAGCAAGGAATGCATGTGAACTTATAGTAAAAAAAACAAAGTTTAGAATAGCAATTACAAAGCTGAAGTCAAGAGATGATAAGTATTTCATCAGATTCTTATCTCATAATTTGACTAATCTTCTGGAATATCAATATGCAAAAGTCATGGTAGAGGGTCTTCTTAATGGTCTTGAATTTTACTCAAGTTGCATATTTTCATATCTTGGTCTAAATGAAGAAGAACTGAACAAAGTTTCTCAAACAAAATTTATAGAATGGTTCTCTACCAAGTTATTTGGTAACAAGACTGGCTCAATCTTTCCAATGATAGGAAGAATTGAAAAAGCCATGTTTGATCAAAACATAATTCCATCATTTGATGAAGTACAAATCTTTATCATTGAAACTTTTTTCAGAAAACATCATTCAAAAAACCATTATGCTGCTCTACTTCTTCTAGCATACTGGTTCAAATATGAGAATCCAAGCTTTTGGGAGGAGCACTTCAAGACTGAAAAAGGGTTTTGTGATGCTATAAACACAAATTTCTTGCTCTTGAAAAACATCAGAAGCCATAAAAATATCCACAAGCATGATTGTCTGGTTATTTTTGACCCTTAATGATTCATTGTACACATTTTTTCTTAAAGATTCTGTAAACCCTTCACAAAATCCAATGTTTCTTTTCTATTTTATTGTGCAAACACTTCATTGTTGAATACCTGTTGGAAAAACTGAAAGTGTGACTTTGCAACAAATTTTGCATCATCCTTATGATTTCAAAAATGTTCATCAATGTTCACATGTCTCGCAATACTCTCTACCATATCTCAGAGATTGGTTCTTCAAAATTAGCATGAATCTTTTTATCTGGATTAATTTTGAACCTGTGTTTTTGTCATTTTTCATTCTGTATTTGATACATCAAAAAAATGTCTTTACTTGACTTGGTCCCCTTTCTTTCTGTCAATCATAATCTTACAGTTTGTTTTGGATAAAAACATTCAAGTTGATAATTCATTACATCTTATCAAATTCTCCATGTTTCATGCTTGGTTTATATTTGATCCAACATTCTGACTTATTGTCAAGAGATGCCCTGCAATGAAAGCTGACTCAAGTCCCTGGAATTTCATGCAATGGTCTGTGAAATACCTGTCTGGTTTTCCAAGAACTTTGACCGCAGGCACAATTTGTCATTTAGAGTCACTGGTCAGAGATCTTAATGTGGATATCTTGAAGTGATGAGTTTGATCAAAACTTCAATGCCTTTTATGAGCTAGCATAATGTATCCCATTTACAAAATGAGTACGGTCGGTCATGGATTTGGCCAAATATTGAAAATGAGATGAAGACCGCGAATGGGCTTAAGTTAAATTAAATTTTTGACCCCAAAAATAGGTGATGGTAGATCAGTCTGAGTTTGCCAATGGGGCATTCTCTTCACTGTGCGACTGGGTTCTGCCGCCTGTTTTCTTCCAAAGTTACTATCAACATTATTCCCAGCTCAAACTTATATACCGTTGTAGTCCCGCTTGTTCCCGTGAAGCGACATGGCGACTCGCGCTTCGCGAATTTGCTTTGGCTTCCGAAGTCTCGAGAGACCTTGCTCATTTCATACCTAGCTAAGAGCTTACAGAGCCTCTGGAATGTAGGATCTGAAATGGACCTTGTACGACCTTACCCACCGAGGGACCCGCCAGTGCCAATGTTTTACATCGAAATTCCCAACAAAGCACTTGGGTTCAGTTGGAAATTTCAAGCTATAATTCACATAGCTGAAGCTAGCCTAGCATCGCGCAAAAGCTATCCAGTATCGCCAATCTCCACCTTGACCTGGGGGTATATCCCTCTCACTGCACACCGGTTAGTTCACAAATTGTAAATATTCTGAAGGTCACCCAACGGGTGTCGACTGTTGAGGCAACCCACTGATCAGATAAATTCATGAATCGTGGAAGATCATTCGGTGTCTTGAGTCTGACTGCGGTAAGCTGGGCCCCCGGGGCACGAGATAGGTTGGACCGCCGGAACACGAGGGTTTGAATCACAGTTTTGCTGCTGCTTATTCATGACTTGAAATCGGTTGTATAACTTTGCAAGGTGAGGTGAGGCGTGATGGTCCCTGAATCTTCGTATCTGAACCAGATAGTCAGATTCAGTGGATCACTCGTTGATCCAAGTGTAACGTCGTTGCTTGTGGATGAAGAGGTGAAGAGGCTGGCACCACTACCCGCCAACATAAAAAGCAAGCTTGAAGTACACCAGCCACGAATTGCAACCCCCATCGCACTCAACACGATCTTGTTGGCCCATAGCTTTGAATCCACCGCGATTATTGACGGTAAGAACTGCTCATTGCAACCATAAGAGGGCCGTTACTCCAGATTGAGCTTAATGCGTAATCCTCTTGTTGTTTTCTTGCAGCGATACAATATTACCGAGGCTAATCTCACGTACCCGAATTGTCCATCGAGGAATCCAAAAGGTGACGATGAGATTTTCATTGATTCCGAGCATTATGATTGCCGGTCTTACCCTGTGTAAGTATTCCATCCGAAACTGTCCACATTCTCATCAATGAAGCATTCGTTCAAAGGATGCCTCTCGCTCATCACGATTACTGATATATGAACATCTCAGCCAACAGTTTGAGCTCAACGCCGATTCCCCAGAATAAGCTGGCTGAGAAAAGAATCATCAATTCACAACATACAAACTATGGTGCTGCACCCTCCATATACACTCCTGGCTTTCAGGGTTCGGGCGGCGATACAAACAACAAATCATTTCCTCCAGGATTTTAGTTTCCTCACACTACGCATTAGCTTTGTCTAATTTGTTATTTCATTTATATTTCCCTTTTCTGAATTTATTGAAAAAGGAACTTGTGGTCAGGCCAACTCATAACCTTCGCGTTAGCGTTTTATTTATCGGATTTTTCTAAATTGTTCAAGAAATCAAAGTCGCTCAATCGGAAGAGCAAGCAATGATTTTTTGAATCTAGACACAATTTATCTTGAGTCATTTTCTCTTCTTTCATCCCTGAAGCGACTTATGAACCTCTTGCAATGTCTTCGAGGCAGACATAAGGTCCCTTTATATGGCGTGACATTATCAAAAGGGCATAGAAGAGACGTTTTACTAAAAAAGACATTTTTAAATGTAAACATAGATTCGTTGATTCAAACTCAATGAAGAATAGATCAATCAGGATCACTACTTCCTAGAAGTTCTTACATGACATCAATACAAATAATCGCCAAGCTGTGAAGCATTGTTTTTTAACCACTGTTCAATTTCCCGACCGCGTTCATCAATTTCGTTTGTATTACTTCAGTCATTCAAAATTTTCTGGCTCTTTTTCCTTGGCTTGGATGGGCATTTCCCTCTCCTAGTCTGCTTTACTAGCTGGCCACCCTGCCAAGATCAATCTCTTCATGATCCTTGCGTTCAACTGACTTAGAAAAGTATATACAAGTCATCTCTAGATGAATTTGAATTTCAATGCTTGAGAGGTTGTGCAATGTTTATCGCACGAGGCTTTCAGAAGCTCTCGAGAGCGTGAGCATACTCTGGCGCGTATGTGCCCCGTGACCTACGCGACTTTCGGTACTCTCCGGTACCCGGGGGAGACGTTTGCCCTTCCAAACCCACGGTCCATTTTAATTGTTAATTTGGTACTCCTCGCCAACCCAAGCCAACCCAAACCACGGTCCCCATCAACACCTCAAGCATCACTCGAGCTGATATTTACTTTCAACCACACACTTCGGGTCACGAGCATAGAGAGAGAGAGAGAGAAAGATCGATTGAAAAAGGATGCCTCCATCAGATACTACTCGACGGGTGATGCTCGTCAATAATGTGTTCGGTCGGTCGATCAACAACGTCTCGAAACCGGTGGATGCTCAGACACTGGCCGAGGCGTTTCCTTACGCGAGTCCGCAAATGCTGGACACACTGGCCGAGCAGACCAAAAACTTATTTTCACACTATGCTAACGTGAGTCACTCTGACGCATGAAAAGACCATTGAAAGAAATCCTAGAGTTTTTTTTTTTTCGACTGATGCTGATTTCGTCTTGTTTTGCTTTGGATCTTCTCTCGACCTTGTTCTATTCTCCTGCTCGGTAACTATCAGGGCCGTTGGACCGAATTCGCGGAGGCCGCTTCGTTCGAAGACCTCTGTAACCAATTTGATCTTCTGGAACGTGAGGCCATCGAGAGAATCCAAGCAGGCGTGAAACCAGTGATGTAAATTCCAAGATTTCGTTCAACCAAAAGTTATCCAAGACCTGATAGTGTACTGAGATTTATGTACAGGATTACCCGAGATCCCAAATTGTCGATCCCACCTCTCCTCCTCAAAACCTTAACCAACTTGGAAAGCTTATACCGGTCAGCCCATGTACGACAAGAGGAGACGAACGAAAAAATGCAAGTTGAGATCAGTAAACAGATCAAAGAGATCGAGCGCCTGGAAGCGGAGATCAAGGGTCGCGTAGGACAGATCCAATCTACCGCCGATCAATGTAAACATCTCTAATCTCCCCTCTCCCTCTCTTGTCACTCTTTGTGTCTTGAAATGTTATCCTAGCTTGTACTCGTTTTATCTTCCCTCAACAACTTACATATCCTAGTTCTCAAAATTCAGGACGTTTTGCTTTTTTTTGAAAGAGAGTTTAATCTATCCTAACTGCTTTCCTGGAATAGTTATTGATAAGCTTTTGTTGTTGTTTTTTTAATTTTTCCCCCTTGAAAAACTACCCGGGACTACCTCACCGGGTCTGTAATACAAAAACAACAGAATCACATTTGGGATTTTTATCTTTTCTCTTGGAACAAACATCAAGATTTGTTGTTAGTGGTTTATTACTCGAAAGGTTCTTCTCATTCCCAATGATAAACTAAAAAGACACAGCTTGTCATTGATAACTGAGATAGAGTACATTCAACTTCCTGAAAGGAAATCGCTGATTACAGTTGTAATTCAAATGCCATGATATAATTCAGAAAATACTTCAGGTGTACACAAGAACATCAAACCTAGTGTAACGTTTTAACTTCTTACATACGTATAAGCAATAGAAGAAGAAAAAAACAAAGGGAGAAAATTTATCATTTGAGTTGGATGATTCCATTCGGATTACGTTGGATGTTAAGTTTGAGCAACCAAGAATTGACGAGTTGATGATGATTGAGATTGTTAGAAGAGGCCGAAGGATGGTGACTTGAATTCCGGAAATGATTGAAAGATTGGAAGTCTAGAGATAATAAATCGACGATGAATCGGTCGTCTTCTAAGCTTAGGTGATAGTAAGACTTCGCGATCACTTTCCATATTAGGTTTAATCTGATTGAGGACAAGAATACTAAGAATAGAAGCTCGTCCCATTCGGTGGTCATCGACTCGTCTTCTTCTTCTTCTTGATGGTGACGTGTTGTTATGATTTTCTTCAGTTTAGGCTTGATAAATTTCTGATTAAGTTGGAAGTAATTCTTGCGTAAGACGAGTTTGAAGAACGTTTTCAATTCGAGTAACTTAGGATGAAGAGGGCCTGAGATGTCCGAGAAGGGCTGTTTATGAGCAGTTGAATGTGCGTAATGGTCTAGGTTATGAAGAGTTTGATCGGATAGGATTTGAGTGATTTGAGCGAATTGGTCGATGAATCGGCTGATATCTAATCGACTCGCTATCGGTAAGAGCAAGTAAACTCTGGCAAACATCAGTCGTCTGTTCAGAACTTCTTCCTTCGTTCGTCTGTGATGATTGATCAAAGTCTCCAGGTCTTCTTTTTCTTGTTGTTGTTTATTTGAGTCGGGAATCAAATGATCAGAGATCGATAGGGTTCGGTATAAGTTCATTATCAAGTGGTTCAATAACGTGTTCAGTTGTGCGAAATCCAACGACTCCAACGCGAGCTCTGCGCTCAATTCATAGACTGATGAAGCAATACACGTGAGCTTTTTATGACGTGTGTCCTCGAAAAGAGTTGGATAGACCCACCTACTATTGCAAACGAATCTCGTCTCCCACTGGCGAAAATGCCTTCCCTGAGTTTCCTGATCTCGCGAACCAGAGACGAGATCCGATCGATCTGAGTCTTGTAATGCCCTTCATCATCCTCTCCTTGATTCTTGAGTTTCTCAGGATCTTCATGAGAGTCTTTGAGACTCAAGTAGAGGAACAAATCGGATCGATTTCGATAAGCTTTCTTATATTCTTGAATTCTGTTGAGGATCCATTTGAAAAATTCGACTTGGAAGTCATAGTTCGTCAGGTCTTGATTGTCATGCTCTGGCGTACTGGATTTCTTTGTTTGATTTTCTGAGCTATAGATTCCACGAGAAGGTGAGGGGACTAGGGACATCGGATCGAGTCGAGGATTGGATAAGTTGAAACTGTTCATGAATCCTGTTAATTTTGTATCCTGTTGTTGTTGATGTTGATTTCCAAATTTTTTGGATACCATTCGATCTCCATTGGTGATGATGATGCTGTTGTTGCTATTATTCTGAATGTTCTTGTTCGTTGTTTTTGGTTTTGAGTGTGGTGGGATGTATTTTGAGTGTTTTGAGTTAGTTTTCAGATTGTTGTTAGGTTCCTGTTCTTGTTCTGGTTGGTTCCATCTGCTATTAGTCAGTGACATCGTTTGGTAAGTCGTTGGTTTTGGTTGGTTGTTTTCTGGTTTTCTGGTTTCCGTCAGCCACAGGCGACGCGTGGTATTATCAGATCCCCCGAGGTCGGGCCCCCCCCGTCACTGACCGTAGTCGGTATACCCGTCCCCGCTCGGCACTCAGCTATCAGGTGAATCTCAAGATTATGTATGCCTGATAGATATTTAACACCAGTAATCTTCATCAACATGTGTATGGCACGAGATTTTTTCTGTGAACTGGCACCAATTCCCCACAGTAATAATAAGACTAGTGTTAAAAATTGGTCTTGCTCATCAATCCAGAGAAAGTTACATTCTATAACAAGTGAAGTAAGAACATCTATTTAGTTGACTGTTTTTGGCCCAGCTCAGACGACTTATCATCAATTTTAACAACCGGTATAGGAAGCAGATAAACAAGAGCAGCCGATGTGCGAATCAGATGGCCCTGTGTTGGCCCAAGCTGTTTGGCCCAGATCCAGCGGTTGGAGTCTGTCTCTTTAACTGCGTATACAAGGGGCTCAAGACCGATATTGAAGAGCCGCATATGTTCCTCAGTTCCAGTTCCCGAAATCCTGAGCATCGCCCAGCGTGGCTTGACGGCCATATTCAAGTAATTAACTGGTCCCTTCTTTGCTGAGAATGGGTATAAAACCCATGGCACCCCTTCTAGTGCAAACCCTTCCGGCTTCTCAATCCATTCGTCAACTAATTCATCCCCATGATAGACTTCAGAACATCCGATCATCCACGAACTTAGGGATATCAATAGAATCCCAATTGGCCAAGCTTTCATCTCCTTCTTGGTATTTCTGGTGAGCAAAAGAAAAAACCTATTTCATTGAGAAATTTCGCCATGTTTGAATCGAACTTATTAGCAATCAATTGGCTCACCTCTGAAAACAATTCTGAATCAAGTGAAGAATGATCACCACCTTGAACACTAAACTGAAGGATTGACTCCAAGGAATTCCAGCCCAGCTACTTTAATGAACGAGAAAATTAATAACAAACACGGCTATTTCTTTATTAGATGAGAGGCATACAAGCCGAAGAGAGGACTCACCGATACTCAATTTATTCTGTGCAGAGGGGAGAGACACAAGTTGTGAGGCCGGGTCTGTTCTGTTGTCGAAAGATGATTGCGCAAAAAAAAGAAACCCCACCTTTATAGAAACCCGAGTTACCTCAAGTTCATCAATCGACCTGTTTCATCAGGTTTCATACGGGAATCACCCAAGGCCGAAATGAACAACCAGGCAAAAAAGGGTTGAGCTGCACGATTGGCATCTGCTTCAAGGGGTCATGTCACGACACGCCTGACTGCTTGGATCTCTCGGAGCCGTAGGTGCAACTTTGTGACCCGCCGGTTACATATTCCACTTGATAATTGATCAGTGAATATCCTTCACTGGATAAAACTCCCCTCTATCTCTCTTGTTTGAGATTTTTTTTTCTCCCCCCCCCCCCCCCCCCCCCAAAAAAATTTCAAGGGGGCCTTTCCAAAGAAGGAGGAGGGGGGCCAGCTCCCTCAAAAATCGCGAGTGATTCGTAAAATGACCTAATCGAACCACGAGATCCTACGACGAGATTCGGCTGGACCGATATGTTTTTATAACAGACACCTGTGCCTTGTCTTTCTCGGATCTCCAGCTGCCAAAAGATGCCAAGGGATAACCCCCACGGTTTTGTTGTGACATTGTGCTCCTCCCGAAAGTCCGTGATGCCGCTCGGCTCC